CACTTCTTATACGGTTCCTGAGAGAAAAGGATCCACTGGCCAGAGGAGTGATATTATGGAGGTGGAGTTTTTCAAAAGAGAGAGAGGCCTAGAGAGGAAAACCTTCAGGGAGAAGGGAAAAACCTAGCTTCGGCAGGAAAAATGAGGGGAGAAGGGAAGGGAGGGTAAGAGTAAAAGAAAGGAGTATATAGAAGAGAGGGGAAAAGATAGGAAAAGAGAAATAAAGAGGTATGGGGAAGGAACATAGAGAAAAGGGAAAAAGGAAGACGAGAAAAAAATAAACAACTCAAAAATTTCCTAAAAAGGAAATTTTCAAGCGTAGAAAGGAGGAATGGGAAAGAGTTTTAATTATAAATAGTTACTTATAATATATAATAAGTGAACTTAAATAAAAATTAATATATGTTCCTAAGGATTTTTTAATTTTGGATTAGACTTATTGATTTAAAATAAAAAGCATTGAAATATTTAATTATTTTAATAATCTTTATAAGATAAATATATTTTAATAAAAATAAACTAACAGATTAAATTATTTTAAAAAAACAGATAATATTAATTTACTTAAGTAATTTGTTAAATTAATATTTGAATAAACTATTTATATAAAGTTATATAATTAATAAAATTAATAAAAACTATACATGTATTATATCTGGTTTTTTAAAAAAAAATTAAATTAAATTAAAATATATAAATAAATAAAATTTAAGAAACAAAAATATAAATATAAAATAAATAAATAAATAAATATATATATATATATATATATATATATTAAAAAATATTTAATAATAAAAAATATAAATAGAAAAGAAATATAATAATAAATAAATCAAATTATATACAATACATATTTAGATTTTAAATATATTTAATAAATTTATTAAGAATTAATTACAATTTATTAAATATTATTATAAATATAAATTTTTTAAAAAAATATAAAATTTATCAAATATACAATAAGTATAAACAAAATTTTTATAAATTATAAATTTTTTAATTTTGATTCTTTTTTTTCAATTAGATTGAAGTTATTTATTTATTAAATTATAATAAATTATTATAATAAAAATTGTGTATATAAATTTTTTTAATTCAATTCATTTATTTATAATATTAAGTTTTTAGAAATAATTTATAGAAATAATATATTGCTTATTTATTAATAAAGATTAAGATTCAATTTGTTTAACAGAGTTATAATTTACAAATTATATTTGTAGATAAATTATAGATTTTTTAATTTTGCTAAAATATATAATATCAAATAACTTTGTTAAATCTTATAATAATTAATTACATATTAATATTACAATTTTGTTAAGTATTTAAATTAAAATTATTTTTTATTATATAGCTTTTTCTTAATAAAGTAAATAAAAAAAAAATCATGTTTTTATATAATAATGTTATTAAAGAAATTTCATTATAAAACTTTTTTAATAAAAAAATTTTATTCTTTTAACAAGTCCTATTTTTTGTTTTATTTCTTAAATTATAAGTATTTTCAAATAAATTTATTTGAAAAATTAATAAAAATATAATTATAATTGATTTTTTTAAAATTTTAAAATATTCAAATAAAAAATTTTTTAATAATATTTAAAAATAAGAATTATATTATAACAGTATTTAATTTTATATTATAAGAATAAAATGTTAAGTATTTATAAGATAAAAACATGTTGATTTTTTAAAAAAATTATAAACTATTTATTTATCCTTGACAAATTTTTAAATATTGATTTTAAACAAATAGTTTTTAATATAATATTGTAATTAAAGATGGGTTCCTAAATTAAAGACAAGAACATAATTAAAATGTCCCTTACTATTAAAAAAGTTTTTTTTTTAAATATATGATCAAAAAAAAACTATCTACAAAGGTTTTTTGCAATTTAGGCCACTTAATCCAAGTGTTTTTTGAATTATGTCCCTATTAAAATAATAATTAATTAATTATATTCCTTCAAAAGGAACATAATTGATCTGCAAAATTTTATATGTTAAATAGTTTAGGGACCCATTCTTAATTGTAATTCATATAAAGGATAATAATAATAATTATTATATTTTGAATTTATATTATGAATAAAAAGTTTTTTTATTTCCAAAAATATAAAATTACAGAAATTTTTATAATAGAAATTTGCAAATAAAAATTTAAATTTTGACAAATTTGCTTGCAATACAATTTAAGGGATACAGTGGTAATTATTTATCGTGAGAATTTGTGGTCAATAGTTAAACATGTTAACCAAAATACTAAATTGGGAACAAAAACGGCCAATAAGAGTAAGAACATTTACGTATATAGTCAGATAATTCTGGAGAAAGAGAATCAAATAGTTTGAGCATGAAAGGAATTTCTTGCCAAAGTGTCACTGATGAGAGTTCAATAGTTACGGTCCCTTCCAAAGAAACACCGCACCAGAGTATCACGGACGATAGTTCAATGGTCACTATCTCTTTCCAAGAAAAAAATCAAAGCACTTTCGATGGGAATTCAACAATCACAACCTTTTCTCGGGAAGAAACTTCACAAAGTATTACCAGTGAGAGTCCAATAACTATAGCTTGTTCACAAGAAGCTCCAAAACAAAGAACCGCCGATGAGAATTTGCTAGCTACCGCCTCTCTAAAAGAAGACACTTCAGGCCAAAGTACCACCAAAGCAAATTCAGTGGACGTGTCCTCTTCACAAGAAATTCAAAGTGCTACCGATGAGAGTTTGATAGTTACCGCCTCTCTAAAAGAAGACATATCAAGCCAAAGTACCACCAAAGAAAATTCAGTGGACGTGTCCTCTTCACAAGAAATTCAAAGTGCCGCCGACGAGAGTTTGATAGCTACCGCCTCTCTAAAAGAAGACACTTCAAGCCAAAGTATCACCAAAGCAAATTCAGTGGACGTGTCCTCTTCACAAGAAATTCAAAGTGCCACCGACGAGAATTTGATGGCTGCCACCTCTTTAAAAGAAGATACTTTAAATCAAAGTGCAATCGAAGAAAGTTCAGTGGACTTGTCCTCTTCACAAGAATCTCAAAGTGCCGCTGATGAGAGTTTGATAACTACCGCCTCTCTAAAAGAAGACACTTCAAGCCAAAGTACCACCAAAGAAAATTCAGTGGATGTGTCCTCTTCACAAGAAATTCAAAGTGCCACCGGCGAGAATTTGATGGCAGCCACTTCTTTAAAAGAAGAGACTTTAAATCAAAGTGTAATTGAAGAAAGTTCAGTGGACTTGTCCTCTTCACAAGAATCTCAAAGTGCTACCGATAAGACTTTGATAGTTGTCACCTCTTTAAAGGAAGATACCTTAAATCAAAATGCAACCTCAAAAAGTTCAGTAAACGTGTCCTCTTCACAAGAAATTCAAAGTGCCGCCAATGACAATTCCATATCTTCCCAGGAAAGTCACGAACAACCTGTTGCCACCCTACAAAAACAATCAGGCGTGCTATCCAGAATCCCAGTTGAAATTTTCATAAAAATCTGCAAAGATGTTCCTCCACACGAGCTTTTTTACCTTTCAAAGTTGTGCAAGAGATTCCATGTTTTGTTGATTTCATCTAATTTTGGTACAGAACAGATTTGGAGATCTTCAAGAAAAAATTTCATGAAAGCCTTACCGGACCCACCACAAAATTATTCCGAAGGACATTGGTTATTTCTGAACATGGTTGACTTGGGGTGTCAATTTTGCGGATCGGGAGCTATCGATCCGAAGGGAGATCTGCCATCGGAAAATCCCGTTAAAACATATTGGATGTTTCGCGTGATGTGCTGCAGAAAATGCTTGAAGGAGAGAACTGTAACGTGTGTATTGATCCTTTTTTCTCTAGATCAGAAAAAGAGATTATCAACATTTTTCGTTATCGGTAACCATAATTATAATGGAATGGTAGGAAGTTGCAGGTAGAGGAGAAAAAAAGATTCGTGCTGAATTTCCTTCCGTGCTTGGAATTAAATAAACGACCAAATATCTATTGGAATTCACACGTTGAAAAAATTTACGAAGAGTATCTTCAAACTCCCCGTGAAAGATACTCACAATGGCTCAATGAAAAACGTGACAGCATTTACACGAAGAAATGCATAGCAAGTTATTGTGCGGGTAGGTCTGATGATAATATCAAATCCAACGCGTCGATTAAAAAGAAACGTTTTAAGAATGTGGCGAATGTATTATCAAGCAAGGTACCCAACGATGCAGGGAGGGAAATAACCAGAGTGATTTCAAAAATTAAGCAGCTTCCAACATACAAGGAATATTGGAAGAACATAAATTCTGTAGTGTTATTTAATGAATATCATTGGCGGAAGTTTGAAGAAAAATTGTTGAAGGAATGGGAGGCAAACCGTAGATATGCCGTCACAAGGGAGAGATTATACTCCGTAGCTTTGAAGGTGAGAGAGAATTTTGATTGGCGTGTCAGAAATTTTCTAAATTCCTAATTCATCTCGTTACATTTTAGATTAATAAAGATTATTCTTCAGACAAAGCGCTTTTCGACTATCTTTATCATTGTCCATCGTTCAGGAACAATTATCCTCCACAATTCAGCAATCCAAACGAGTCTCTGGATGAGAATTTTGTTGATAAAGAATTCATACCAAAACTAATTATGGAAGCATATAAAATTGCCAATGAGACCGAAAGACCCCCTCCGATCACCACGGTTGACGGAATTATGAAATTTCGGTATAATAAAAAATTCGTTATTTTGTGTAAGTTATGTCGACAAAGTAGGTTATATTCACTCGAACGTATCAAATGCCATTTTGAGGAGATACATGAAATTAATGGAAAGATTGTCGACTTGGATAAAATGATTGAAGTGGATTGGTTGGAAGTAGGAAAACAATTATTGAATCGAGACGCTGAATCAATTTGTTTCCACTTTCCTCTCAAGGATGTTTTTAACCCGTTCAAAAAGAATAGAAAATTAATGTAATTTTAGTTTAAAAATAATTATTTAACGATCGGATGAGTTCTCTGGCATGCGAAAATAAAATTATCGCTCATTGATTACGATAAAATTTCAATGTATTTTATCACATGGCAAAAAATTGAATAAGTAATAACATTCCTCACCAAAATATTGAAAATCAAATATACATTTATTTTAAAAAGTTTATACATGTATTTACGATCCGACCGGCCCTCGCAATCTCTTAAATCCCCCCCCCCCATATGTATGAATTGTGAGTTAAAATTAGAACAAACCATTGAACAAGCGTGCCACCCACTGCCACCCACTTTATCAACCATTGATATTCGTCACCACTTCAACTTTTGCATCAGGTTTTTCTACCAACACATTATTCTCCTCGCAAATTTTTTGTCCCTGATTCTTTTCCAAATCCAACATTAATCTTTTTCTCAACAAATAGTGTCGAGCAATCCATGCAGTAGCAACCACATAGAAAATTGCCATCAAAGCAATGCTCATCTGACAAATTCCTTTGCGGTCGGTCTCCGATCTCAAGAAACCTTCGTGATCTGGGGTGTAGTAAATTCGATGATGATATTCATAATATTGTGCATGATGAATGTTATGATGGTTACCTTTGACGAATTCGTGACGATGGTGGTGGTGGTGGTGGTGATGGTAGCGATGTTTGTGGTTAAAGTCAACATGGCGATCGCTAGCTTCGATAAGATCTTCATCGTGATGAGCCTCTTTGTGGCTAATTTGAGGATTATGGTGGTGGTGGTGCCGATGATGCCGATGTTTGTGGTTAAAGTCAGAATCTACATCATGAGGAGGATTATGGTGATGGTGATGGTGGTGGTGCCGATGATGTCGATGTGAAAAAACACCACTCGCGTGAAACATTAATATAAAGAAGCATAGAATAATAAATTTCTTAAGTAGTTTTCGTTGGAAAGGATTTCGAGTTATGTGGGACATGATTAAAGGCTTCGAAGAGTTGAGCTCTTTGCTTAAAGTAATTTCTTTCCTTCGGAATCCGTCACCTCGATTTTTTTACCTCTTTATTATGACAAAATAAGAAAGAGAATGTTATTGAGGTACACAAAACATGAATTAATGTTTCTCAACTTACTTTGTTATTTAAAAAATATGCACGTTTATACGCAAACACCTGTTTTATGGCACAGAACATAAGATTTACGTACTAAAAAAAATTGTTTGTCACACCACTTTTTAATTTAACAAAGAATAAATCACGTGTTACTATCTGAATACAAATATATACGCGCAATTCGGTTTTTACCTAATTTCAAACCTCCTGACGCACATTACCAATATATTACCATGAATTGTAGCGATGTTCCTCCAACAGAGGTAAACATTTCATTTCAGATTTCTATTATTCTCTCCTTGTTCACCACATGAAACATTTTTCCGAATCGACAACAGGCCCAAAAATCCTTATCCCTCATCAAATCCTTAAGATCAACCATCGTCCAACATGAGATCGAGATCGACAGTCTAAAATCCTTGAACTCCGCCTTAAAATCTCGTATCTCGAAACTCCACGCTGATGCCGCTGACCACATTGGAGGTGGTCACGAAGCCGAAATACTGCGCGGCGAATGTTCGAGACTGAGACGAGAAAAAGAAGAGAAAAGTAACAAAAATGAAATTCTCCTGGAAGAGGTCTCGAGGCTAAGGAATGAAAACAAGAATTTGAAGAACGAAAATTATAGCCTTCAGGATGAGAACTCGAATGTGAAGAGTGAGAATGCTAATCTTAGTCTTCAGTTAACCAAACAAAAATCGACCTCTCAAACTGATAATTTGGAACTGAAAAGTGAACTATCGGCATTGCTGAACGAGAATTCCAGGATGTCCAATAAGATTTACGCATTTCAAGAAGAGGTGTCGAAGTTGAATAGAGAATGTGAAGAAGTTCGAGAGGAAAGGGATAAATTGTTGACGCTAACCAAAGCTCGGGAACTGGTGGATATATTCGCTTCGATGGGAATAAATAACAACGGTGCTAATGAAGGTAAGATTAAACATTTGAATGCGTGATTTTAAGATGGTGCGATTTTTTTATAACATTAGGCTTTATTCCTTAACCACACAGAAGCGTTTCATAACGTAATTTGTGATTGGTGTGAACGTGATATCATAGGAGATCGTTATAAGGCACAACAATCAATTGCATATCGTGTTCTTTATTATTTATTTATTTATATCAATTAATGTTTAAACTTTGAAACTCGTAAAATCAGTGTGGAAACTGTGCGAATTATGATCTGTGTAGTTCATGCCTTGGCACACCTCATGACTCTACTCACATATTCCTCAAAATTCGAAGTCCGGTAATCATTAGTTCGTACGCCCCCTTGTTACCTCAATTTTTAACATTACCTACTAGTAAGTGTTCCGACATTCATTTCATCCTTTCCTTGAACTCAATTTTCTCAATTCAACTTTTTTTGGAATAATTCTCATAGGAACACACACGGGAATTACATGTGATGAGTGCGGAGAGATGCCCATACGAGGTGTCAGATTCAAGGTACCATGGAATATTTTCGTTGATCCATATACATTAGATTCGATTCGTTGTTCACCTCATTTTCTTCCGTAGTGTGTTCAGTGTTCGGATTTTGATGCCTGCGGTCGTTGCGAATCCAAGCTTTCTCATGACCCATCGCATGTTTTCATTAAATTTACGAGGCCCATTCGGATATATCCTGTTTTCACATTCCCTTTATTTTAGAAAATGCGAAACAATTTTCGGCACCTGATGATTCAACAGTCCATACTTTCAAGTCATTTGTAAAACATGTACTTTATCTAACATATAAACACTCGATTGAACCCCTATTTATTACTCCCACCTTCAATCTTCGAAATGTGAATTATTCCGTTGTTAATATTGCAACGAATAAGTTACCAATGTAAAATATTATTCACTGTCGTAAATATTAGATCACGTATTGCGATCGTTGCGATCTGTATAAATTTTGATTATTGAATTGAAGCCAAATATTTAATTTTCACTATTCTATTTACTGTACACCATTATTAGTTGTAATAAATATAAATTTATTATTGAATAATCCATTACATTAACTTCTAATAATTAAAATTTGTTTAATTATATACAGTATATACAGTGTGAGTCAAAATTATTGGAAAATCACTGCAGCGAGATCTGTATAAATTAAACTAACCAAACTCAGACAGGAACGTGACACCAAAATGTAAAGTTAAGTAGAATCGAA